ATGCTCACTGCAGCCTTGACCTCCTAGGCTCAAGTAATCCTCCTATCTCAGCCTGCCAAGTAGCTAGGACCACAGGCATGTGCCACCATACCTAGCTAATTTTTTTTTTTTTTTTTAACTTTTTTTTGGGAGTCAGAGTCTCCCTCTGTCGCCCAGGCTGGAGTGAAGTGGCACAGTCCTGGCTCACTGCAGCCTCTGCCTCCTGAGTTGAAGCGATTTTTGTGCCTCAGCCTCCGGAGTAGCTGGGACTATGGGCATGCATCTCCACTTCCAGCTAATTTTTGTATTTTTAGTAGACATGGGGGTTTCACCATGTTGGCCAGGCTGGTCTTGAACTCCTGACCTCAAGTGATCTGACTGCCTTGTCCTCCCAAAGTGCTGGGATTACAGGGGTGGGCCACCACGCCCAGCGCCTAGGTAATTTTTTTTTTTTTTTGTAGACACAGGGTCTCACTATGTTACCCAGGCTGCTTATGAACTCCTGGGCTGAAGTGATCCTCCCACCTTGGCCTCCCAAACTGTCGGGATTACAGCTGTGAGCCACCACACCCAGCCTATTTGAATCTTGCTTTCATAGACACTGATAATCTCTGCCTTCTCATTGGAGTGTTTAGTCCATTTACATTGAATACAAGTAAAGGTATAGTTGGATTTAGGGCAGTCATTTTCGCTATTTGTTTTATGATTGCCTAACCTGTTTGGTTTTGCATTTCTTTTTTTTTTTTTTTTTTTTTTTGAGATAGAATCTTGTTCTGTCCCCAGGCTGGAATACAGTGGTGCCATCTCAGCTGACTACAACTTCTGCCTCAGCCTCCCTAATAGCTGGGACTATAGGTGTGCACCACCACACTCAGCTAATTTTTGTATTTTTGGTAGAGACAGGGTTTTGCTATGTTGGTCAGTCTGGTCTCAAACTCCTGGGCTCAGGTCATCCGCCAGCCTCGGCCTCCTAAAGTGCTGGGATTACAGGCCTATTTTTTAGAGCAGTTTTAAGTTCATGTCAAAACTGAACAGAAAAACAGAAAGATCCTATATACTTATTCCCTGCACACACACAGTATCTCTCACTATCAGTATCTGGCACCAGAGAAGTCCATTTGTATAAACGCTGGAGCTACATTAACATGTTATTGTCACCCAAAATTCATAGTTTACATTAGCGTTCACTGTTGATATTGCTATTGTGGGTTTTGACAAATATATAATGGCATATATTCACCATTATATTATCTTACAAAATGGTTTCACTGCCCTGAAAATCCTCTTTGCTCTGCCTGTTTATCCCTCCCACCCTGCTACCCCCTGGAAACCACTGATCTTTTTACTCTCTCCAAAATGTTGCCTTTTCCAGAATGCCATATGGTTAGAATCTGGAAGGCTGTATACCATGTAGCTTTTTCAGAGTGGCTTCATTCACTTGGTAATATGCATTTAAATTCCTCCTAACCTGTTTTTGCTTATCTATTCCTACATTCTGTTGTATTTTGTGTCAGTCACATACGTTTTAATGATTCACTTTCATTCCTCTGTTACCTTTTTAGTTATGCGTTTGCATTTTTTGCGTGATTGCCCTAGGATTACAGTATGGATCTTCAGCTTATCAGGATTTTCTTAGGGTTAATGTTAAATTAGTTATGGTAAAAAATATATCAATCTTGCCACATTATAGTTTCATTTATTAATACCTGTCTTTTACTTTTTTGTTTGCCATATATATGATATTTATGTTTGTAATAAATGGTATTGGAATGTTTATTTTAAGTCAAGGTTCTATAGTCCACAGGCCAAATCCAGCCTATTTCAAACCTATTTTGTACAGATTGTGAGCTAAGAATTGTCTTTGCATTTGAAACGTTTGAAAACATTTACAAGAAAAAATATTTCTGACACACTAAAACTTCATGAAATTTAAACATTAGTGTCCATAACTAAGTTTTATTGAAACACATCTTTGCTCATTTATTTACATATTATCTATGGTTGCTTTCATGCTAAAATAACAGAGACATTCCCTGACTGCTGCTTGAAATAGTTGTGTCTTGTAAAGAAGAAAGGAAATGAATATTTACACTCTTAAAATTTTTCTTATTTTCTTCATACCTTCTTAAAGACCTTAGTGTTATTTTTACCTTAAGCCTGAAGAATTTCCTATAGGCCCCACTCCCCCGCCTTCCCCCGCCCCAGAGATGGAGGTCTTACTTTGTTGCCCAGGGTGATCTCAAACTCCTAGCTTCAAGCAGTCTTCCTACCTCAGCCCCGCAAAGTGCCCAGATTACAGAAGTAAGCCACCACGCCTGGCCTGTTAGCATTTTTGATGTTGCAGTCCTGCTGGTGATGAATTCTCTAGGTTTCATTTGAAAATATTTTGATGTTGCCTTCATTTTGAATGTATAGTTTGCTGCATGTGGAATTCTTGGCTATGTAGCAGTTTAATTAGGATTTGGCTAAGTGTGGTTTTCTTTGGTGTTTATCCTTTTAGGGTTAAACTCTTTGAATATGTAAGTTAAAAGTTCTTGCCAAATTTGGATGTGTTAGGCCATTATTTCCATAAAATTAATTTATGCCCTTTCTTTTTCTCTCCCCATTCTGGGATTCGAATTATATCCATGTTGGATTTTTGAATATGACCCACAGATCTTTGTGAGTCTGTTCATTTTTCATGATTCTTTTTTCTTTCTGTTCAGATTACTTACTTTCTCTTGATTAATTTACACGGATACTGATTCCGTATTTCTGCTCTGCTATTGAGCTTATCTAGTTAATTTTTTATTTCAGTTATTTCTTTGAATACATTTAGAACAGCTACTTTGTAGCCTTTGTTTTTTTTGTTTTTGTTTTTGTTTTTTTTTTTGCAAAATCCAACATCAGGGCTCACTAGGAGTTAGTTTCTGTGATTGTCTTTTGGTGACTACAGGTCTTATTCCCCCACTCCTTTTTGTTTTGTTTTGTTTTGTTTGCATGTTTAGTAATTTTTGCTAGAAAACTGGACATGATAAATAGTATTGTAATCCAAATTCTGTTACGTCTGTTATGTTCTTCTGAGAATTATTATTATTAGTAGTAGTAGTAGTAGATAATTAGCTTGCTTGTAATCAAACATCAAACTTTGTCTCCCTGCTCAGTATAAAGTAACTGATATATCCTCCTGGTTCTTCAAGCTTCTAGCTGCTGCCTTTTACCCTAACCTCCTGAAAGCAGATAGGTTCTCCCTTGTGTTCATGTACTTTTCTCTCAGTCAAGGAATTGGTGAGTGTTTAGATTTGGGGGCTTATGTCCTGCATTTCTCTTTTTCAAGTTTTACCCTCTACACTTCCTGCTGCTTTGTCAGTGCAAGCTGTGACACCTTAATCCAGTAAGCCTCCAGTTTTATTCTTCTTGGGCTGTGAGCAGGTTGTAGAATACCATCAGTCAAGAAGCAGAAGCCTTAGAATCTTACTAGGTGCACTTTTATTTTTCAAGATTCTTTTCTGTTGTAGTTTTGTCTGCTTTTTGCTAAGCCCTCTGTGATCTCTCCAACACATGCATATTTTATCAACCAGGAGTTGTGGCAGAGTTTATGCTCAGATTTTCATTTTCATCCTTTCTGCAGTTCCCTCGCTTCCAGAATTAACCTAAATTTCCAGCTCTCGTTTCTTTTTTATTCTTTTTTTTTTTTTTTTTTGTAACAGTGTCTCTCTCTGTCACCCAGACTGGAGTGCAGGGTCACAACCTCGGCTCACTGCAACCTCCGTCTCCCGGGTTCAAGCAATTCTACTGCCTCAGCCTCCCAATTAGCTAGGATTACAGGCGCTCACCACCACACCCAGCTAAGTTTTGTATTTTTAGTAGAGACAGGGTTTCACCATGTTAATTAGGCTGGTCTCAAACTCCTGACCTCAGATGAGCCACCACGCCCAGCCTCAGGCTCTTGTTTCTGTCCTCCATCACCTTTGAGGAGGTAAGTGGTGGTTTTATACCATGAGAGCTGTGGGGTTTCAGGTACCATGATGCAAAAAAAGCCACAAAATTAGCAGTTATTGTACATTGCAGTTGCTGTCCTTCAAGGATAAGCTCTTTTCCCATTTCTGCCTGCTTTGGTTGCTTTCCAGTGCCTTCTATTAGTTGTTTATTGTATGGCATGTGCACATTTTATAATTACTATCTGAGGGACTATTTCCCTTACTGTTTTACTCTGTTATTGCTGCATGCTGAAAAATCTCACCAAGCACATACAAACCATTTTCTTCATGTATAACATACTCATGTTAAATGGGGAAACACTTACTTCATTAGTGAAGCCTGAGAAATTGTTCTACCTTTGTGATACATGCTGTATCTTGTACATATTTCTTTGTTGTACCTTCTTGCAGGTTTGTGTTGACTTACATCTTCTTGCAAGTATGTGTTACATGCCTCTGGTAACTTCTGAGCAGAAACGGTGTTTGTCTTGGCACTTCCATAAATAAATACAGTTTTCGGCATTAAGTGACTTCACAGCAAATATTCTTAGAATGTGTTGTTTAAAAAATAACTGATGGGTATTTTTACCTTGATTTTTGTTTCCCATTCAATATAAATCATAAAACAGGGAAAATTGTAGTCTTTCTATACAAGGATTCATATGAATGCCACAAGGAAGCAGGGTCAAAAGTAGTTCCCAATATCCAGTCCACCTGTTCTTTTCTTTTTTTTTTTTTTTTTTAGCGAAGTCTTGCTCTGTCACCCAGGCTGGAATGCAGTGGCATGATCTGGGCTCACTGCAACCTCCACTTCCTGGTTTCAAGCTGTTCTCCTGCCTCAGCCTCCCATGTAACTGGGATTACAGGTGCGCGCCACTATGCCTAGCTAATTTTTTGTATTCTTAGTAGACATGGGGTTTCATCATCTTGGCCAGGGTGGTCTTTAACTCCTGACCTCAAGTGATCCACACACCTCGGCCTCCCAAAGTGTTGGGATTACAGGCGTGAGCCACTGTACCCAGCCAAGTCCACCTGTTCTGATTACAGTTCCTTCCATTCTAGGGATCAGTGTCATTCAGTGATGTGACTGTGGACTTCACTCAGGAGGAGTGGCAGCACCTGGATCATGCTCAGAAGACTCTATATATGGATGTGATGTTGGAAAACTATTGCCACCTCATCTCTGTGGGTAAGAAAAATTCTCTTTGAAATTTTCAGTAGCATGTACTTCCTCTCAAAGTGCCTAAAGTATGTATAATCTTGAATTTCAGGAATAAAAGGTGATGAATTCCTTTTGGTTAGCAGAATGAATGATTGTGTCTTCACTTGCCCAGTGCAAGATGCTACCTAGATTGATACACAAATGGGTATCTTAATTTGCAGTACTGAACATGCACCCTTCCTCATTTTCCAACAGTATTATAGCCCAATCAACGTAAGCCTTTTTTTCCCTTATCAGGGTGTCACATGACCAAACCTGATGTGATCCTCAAGTTGGAACGAGGAGAAGAGCCATGGACATCATTTTCAGGTCATACCTGCTTGGGTGAGTTTCTGGCTCCTAGGCAGACCTAGCAGAATGTGAATTTAAAGAGGTCAAATGGTGGGTGATACCTTTGAACTGTTTCAGGAGTATCTTTTTAAAGGCTCCTGACCTCTGAAAACCTTCACGCCTATAATCTGCACTTTGGGAGGCCAAGGTAAGAGTTTCAGGCCACGAGTTCAAAGCCAGCCTGGATAGCATAGCAAGACCCCAGCACTACAAAAAGACAAAAATAAAAACTTAGCCAAGGTTGGGTGTGGTGTCTCATACCTGTCATCCCAGCACTTTGGGAGGCCAAGATGGGCAGATCCCTTAAGCCCAGGAGTTTGCGACCACCCGGAAAATAATGGAAAAACCCCATTTTAACAAAAAAAAAAAAAAAAAAAAAAGTTAGCTGGGCATGGTGTTGTGCACCTTTAGTCCCAGCTACTCAGGAAGCTAAGGTGGGAGGATCACTTGAGCCCAGGAGGTCAAGTCTGTGGTCAGCCATGATTACACCACTCCAGCCTGGAGACAGAGCAAGATCCTGTCTCAAAAAAAAAAAAAAGAAAAGCCAGGAATGATGGCATACACTTGTGGTTCCAGCTACTTAGAAGGTTGAGGTAGGAGAATCACTTGAGCCCAAGGGTTCAAGGTTACAGTGAGCTAGAATTACGCCACTACATGCCAGCCTGGGCTACAGAGCCAAGACCCTGTCTCAAAAACGAAAACAGAACCAGACTTTTAAATATCACTCTTTCTGCTGGGCATGGTGGCTCACACCTGTAATCCTAGCACTTCGCGAGGCTGAGGCAGGTGGATCACCTGAGGTCGGGAGTTTGAAACCAACCTGGCCAACATAGTGAAACTCTGTCTCTACTAAAAATACAAAAATTAGCTGGGTGTGGTGGCACATGCCTGTAATCCCAGCCACTCGGGAGTCTGAGATCGGAGAATCGCTTAAACACAGTAGGCAGAGGTTCCAGTGAGCCAAGATCATGCCACTGCACCTGGGCAATACAGCAAGACTCCATTTCAAAACACACACACACACACACACACACACACACACACACACACACACACA